TTGTTCCTTAACTCAACTATTCCTTACAGTGAATGCAACAGAAGCTGTCTGTGCCAGGAGTTATGACACTAGAAGTGAATCAGAGTTGTTTCACCATTCAATCGCCTGAAAGTGGAAAGTCTTCTCAATAGATGCTCATTCGAAAAGGTGGATTTTAAGGGGCGTTAGAGTCAGCAGATGAATGTGAAAACATCTTACTAGTGTCAAACTCTGCACAGACAGCATTCTGTGCATTCACTGTAGGAATGAGAAGAACAACATATTTGTGAATGGAGGGGGCTGTCACCTTGTTTTTAAATATGCAAGACCAACTTTATTGGAAATTACAACTGCACTTTAGTAGAATTCCTGACTTCCTCCTTACTTATGGCTGCCAGGTGTGGGCTGGGGAGGAGGTAAAGTGGCCTTTGAGGCGGACACCCTTCACACAGCGGACCCCAGCAGCACTGTGGTCATATTAAAAACTGCATCGCCTTTTGTGACAACTGTAGATCAGTGGGCCATCAGCTCCCCCCTCGCTCTTGTGTCAGGGACTTGTAGTCTTTAGTGTAAAGAACGCCGCCGCGTGGTAGCGGCCTTTGTGAGAGTAAGACTACAGTTCCCTCAGAGCTACTCGGAGGTGTTAGTTGTCAATATGGCTGTTGTCAGACAGACAAAGCAGAGAGGCAAATAATTCGCCTCTGATTAGAAATCCTTGGAAAGGGGTCGGACAGGGCACTGTAGTCAAATTGCTTTATTGTTCGGCTGCAGTAAAAGACACAGCGGGTCTTTGCTCAAGTTATAAAGTTAAATGGTTAAGTGGACGATTTGAACCGAGGTAAGTCATGTACTTAGCTATCTACAACACTGAAAGTGATGTTATTAATATCAAACGCTCGCTAGCCAGCGACAGCGGCTAACGTCAGCTAGTATCAGCGTTGGCATGGCTAGCATGTTATGCTAATCATTCCACAACCCAATGCTACCGTAATAGCCTACGTTAAGTTGCTACTAGCCGTCCTCTGCGATGCCAGTGCACTGTTGCCAGCATGAATTCAGCGGCAGCGGTGCCGGGAACGATGGAAACCACCGTGGGTTAGAGGGCTGCATGCTGGCTAATGCAACGTTACACCGGGCATTGTCCGTGTGCCACAGACACATTTGCTAACGCTAGCTTTCGGGCAAAGGGCGTGAAAGCTGGCATCACCGGCGGCTCGCCCGCAGCGGGGAGAGCAGCGACGGCTCTGTGCTCTCACTGCAGGCCCCATAGTCAGCAAAACAAAAACACATGGAGGAAAGAGATACCCCGAGCTATGGTCCGTTTTAGGACTGGGACAATTTAGAAAACTTCACCGCCAAAGAAACGAGTTTGGGCTACACTGGGAGTATCGGTGCATGCAACCTGTATTTAGGTAAGGACGCTCCTGATGTTGCTTGCATGGTAAAAAAAAAAAAACTACTTGATTTATGCGATGTTATTTTCTCTGTATTGTATTTTCTTCTTCCGTGAGCTTTAAAGAGTTGCTGAAGTTGACGGTTATCAAGCTCTCATCAGATCCGTTAGGGATGTGGTTAAAATGAAGTTTGCTGAACCATCTGTCAGCTGCTCCTGTCTTATAATTAGTCAGTAGAAGAAGGATGATGAACTTTATTTTCCCTGTCTCCCTCTGCGTTACACACCTGTCCAGTCTGTGTTATGTGACCTCCAGTAAACCATGGTAGGGCATTGATTTCTCTCAGGCTGAGTGTTTGTCCCCTGCAGGGGTGAACCTGTGCTCACTGTGTTTCAACCAGGTAAACCAACTTGAGCCAAAGTGAATAGTTAACCCTGTGAATACTTGACCAGGATGGGTAATGATTTCAAATGCTCGGGTTTGTTTGCAACGTACAATGTGCCTCTGCGAAAGAACAGAGTCTCTGAGGCTGTCAGACAGTTGCAGATTGAATTGTGTGTAGCTCATCTCTCTGAGGTATGACCAGTTTTGCATTGGTGCTAGATAACGATTTACTGCTTTTGTAGTCCTCCTTATGCATTCTTAATTACAACTAAGGGACTAGTTAATATATAATAGCGTCCCTGTGGTTCGTAAGTTAATGTATTTCAGTGTGTGTGTAAAGCTAGCTGTTACAGTCCTCTCAAGGCTTCCATTTACCACACTGTCTTATTAGTTTCCTTCGTGATAACTTCCAAACACTGCGTGCACTCTCAAGTCATTGAGTTTGATTTGTGTCCTCTGCGCAGCTTAGACTAACAGATGTAGGAAAATGCCGGTGACCCCTTTTAAACCATTTATCATATCAGCATAGGTCGGGCTGGCACAGAAGACGGAAAATCTGCCGCAGTCTGATTCCAGTTGCATTGATTTTGAGCACAGCAAATTGCTTATGAAAAACATAGAGCGTGGGTGGTGTGCAGAGATCCGGGGATATATTGGAGCTCTTAAAGAACGGCAGTCAGAATGTTAAGATAGCATCAGCTGTCAAGGTGACTCTGGCACTCTGCGTGTGTTGCCTGCTGGTTCCCAAAAATAGCAGATTTTTATGCCCTGCCCCTCCCTCCCCTTTTCTTTCACACTTCTATCTCGCGCTCTTGTCTTCCTTTTCTTACTTGCTGCCTCTTTATTTTCTTCTTGCAGTTTTTTTTTCCCTTTCCCACCCCTCTCTTTCTACTTTACCCCTCTAACTCTCCTCCGCTACCTCTCTCTGCCACACTTCCTCCTTTTCCCGTCATTCTCGTTTTTCTCCCCCATCTGCATCTGCGTTCCTTTTTCACTCTTTCCTACTTAATCCTCTCATTTCCTCCCAATCTCATTTCTGCCTGACTTTCCTCCTCGCTCCTCCTTCCTCCATCTCTCTCTCTCTTCCCGTTTCCCTCCTAGATCTTGAGCATCCACTTACTTGTCTTTCCTTAACTTCCCCCTGCATTTCCTGTTTCCTTTCCCCCTCCTCTTCTTCCTCCTCTGTCTCACAACCTGTCTGTCTTGTCTCTCATCCAGCAGCAGGATGTCTGAGTTCAGTGAGGAGCCGCGCTTCACTATCGAGCAGATAGATCTGCTGCAGCGGCTGCGTCGCTCCGGCATGACCAAGCAGGAGATCCTGCACGCACTTGACACTCTGGACCGGCTGGACCGGGAGCATGGCGACAAGTTCGGCCGCCGCACCTCTTCCTCCTCCTCCTCCTCGTCCCCGTACGGAAGGCGTGGGCGGGGCTAAAGCAACAAAACTGCTCGGAGGATAGGCGAGCTACAGTCTTCAAGCAAAACAACACTGGCCTCGGCAACCACCACCTCTTCCGCAATCATTGCAACCGGCGAGCAACGAGCGCGAGGCCGGCCCGGCCGACCACTCGGCGGCCGCCGCATCTTCCACAACCTCCAAAATCTCCACCGCCACGCAGACGCAGTTCGGCAGCGGAGGGGGACTCTCGCCGTCACCCAGCAACAGCTACGACACCTCCCCACCTCCAGGGCCTCCGCCGCCTTCCGCCATCTTGCCCTCACCGGTCTCACTGGTGGCTTTGTCGCAGAACGGGAGGGATAGCCTAGCTGCCACACCCAACGGGAAGCTGTCTCCCCCAAGATACCCAGTGAACAGTGCGGCCGCAGTGCGAGCGTTTGGCTTTGAAGCTTCAGAAGAGGACCTGGACATTGACGATAAGGTGGAGGAGCTGATGAGGTGAGTAGTGACGGAGTGGAGTTCTAAAACTTTGTTTGGGAAACTTTTCACTCGCAGATGTTTGCACAACTGTCCAACTGGTGCTCGTAGAACTGGACAGCATATTACAGTGAGTGGGTTACGGTGATAGAAGACTAGAAATGGGGTTTTTCAGCCTGAAATTGGCGAATATGGCAGGCGATATTGTACATTTTGGAGACCTTTTCTTTTTGGATTGTGTAACATGTTAAATAATTGTAATAATAAAATATATATGTTGTCAACCAATTCTAGTTGACATTGCTGAGAGTGGCGGCTTCTCTCTCCCTCTGTGCTGCTTGCCACAGTATTGTAAATCACAGAGCACTCTGCTGGATAAACATTCCAGTGTCACCAATATATTACCATAGGCGTTTTTTCTGCATGATATACTGGGAAAATAACAGTTTTCATATCGGATAACATATACGCCGATACCAGTACGTCCGCAATATCATCTGATATTATCGGTCGACTGATAATATCGGCCAGCCTCTGTAAGACTAGATACCTTCTGAGATTGTAGATCTTATTATAGACATGGCTGTGTTGTCTTTTTGCTGGTTTATTCAGTAAAGTGTGAACTGTAGTGTGTAGTGGACTGCTCATGCTGTCTGAATCAATGAATTTCCATCATTTCTACAGTACTAGGGGTCCTTTCACAAAATGTTCTTGTGTATAAAGCACACAGGAAAGCACTAAAGGTGCTCTGAAAAGCAACCTTGAAGGCTGTTATCCATCTTTTCTGTCTGATACGTTTTCATTTAGAACGGCTTGTGTTACAGTGGCCGCTTGGTTGGAGTCGGGGGTGTGTCTTTATTGGCAGTAATGCCTGCAACGATGAGGCGAGAAAGCACCGTTTATGTCAGGCTAAATGAAATGGCACCAACTGGAAACTCAAGCTCCATTGTGTTTAGCTGCTGTTGGAACGCATACATGAGATTCATTCTTCACCTTGGAAACGACAAGAAAACAGTCTCACTACAAAGTTAATTTAATTCTGGAGCTTTTGATTATATCACATGAGCTTCATCAGCATGGTGTTTGCCCACTTGAAATGTTTTTCCTGAGCATTTTAAAGACATCTGAAATACGTTCTGGCATAAAAGCTCAGGTTCACACTTGATTCTTGACCTTGGAATGAAAAGTGGAGGAAACACTTCTCACCACAAAGTCCATTTAGTAGCTGTGCTGGAGCTTTTGATTAAAGGTTTATTGTTTAACAAGACTCCGTTTTTAACTGTTAACACAGTAGTTAGTTAACGGTTGATTAACCTGCTACGGTTGTGTAAATGAATTTGTCTGTGGCTGTTCACAGTTATGTTATGTTCACCAAGATTTGACTGTTTGAAAAGAGTTGTTTTTTTATTACGTTCATTTTCATTATTGCCAATGTTTCAGTTGTACTACAAAGCTTTTTATCCAGCCTGTAATTATGCTGGGTCATATAAAACAAACGGAACTGATCATTGGAGTATTCCATGCGTCAGTATAAATGTGGTTGCACTGACTGATGCCACCAATGCAAGCTGGAAATACTGACACTTCTGTGACACCTTTAAGGTGCAATTCTACTTTGCATTGAGGTGTCAAAACCTGGCTTGCTCTTAACTTGGTTGGTATGTCCTACATTATCTGGCAGAGTTCATTCATGATTACCCTTGTGGGAGCTCCAGTAAAGAGGACGTTGGCGCCGGTAATGTCTTTGCTGGATGACAAAAGCCAGTTCAAGTCGATCAACGACAGCTCTTGTTGGCTCCGTGTAGTTCGATGTGCAGTTCCATTTTTGAGGAAGTGGAGCTACAGCAAGATATGTGGATTATTTTGAATCAATGAATTCATTGTTTTTGTCCGTTAGAGCTGCAGTGATTAGTCAATTAATCGATTAGTTGTTACAACAACTCTTAAATGAATAAACTACTAAGTATTTTGATAACAGATTAATATCTAAATTCTCTGAGTTCAGCTTCTCAAATGTGAGTAATTTCTGGTTTATTTAGTCCTCCGTGGCAGTAAACTGGATATGTTTGGATTGTGGACCAAACAAGACATTGGGCTTTGGGAAACACTGATCAGTGATTTCTAACATTTTATGGACTAACCAACTTGTTGAGTTAAGCGAGAAAATGATGGGCAGATGAATTAATAATGGAAATAATGGTTACTTGCAGCCCTATTGTCCATAAAATGAGGAGAAAAATGGCCATCATCACACGTCTTCTGTCTTCAAACCAAAACCCAGCCCAAAGATGAAAATGCCGGGACCGGTGAATGGTTCAGTGCAGATGAACTTTCAGTTGATTGACTAGTGGATTATCAGCTAATATTTCAGGTCTACTTGATGCAGAAGCAGAATTGAGCTTTTACTGCAATTGACTGGTAAGTTTGCTAACCACTAGTGAACAGCACATGTTCCTGTCAGCTAAAGATACACAGATGAAGAACAGAAATAAAAGTGTTTGCACAGACCTTGGCTTCCTTTTTTTATTTTGAAGCACAGCGGGACCTCATGACAGTTGTGATTAGCACATTTGTCTCGTACAGCTCGTAGCACATGAAGATGTACATCCTGTGATGGAGAATCAAAATAACAGACTTGAATAAAGGCGTTCTTGTTGAGATTATGCCTACAGTCAACAAAGACTATCGCACAGAAAGGAAGTATTCTGCTGCAGACGTTTGAAAAGCCTTCAGGGTTCAAGATGACATTTGCTAAGAAGGAAGGAAGAGAAGCCGTTAGAAGCGTGCACCTCTGGAAACATTACATGAAATCACAGACAGTGCCATCAAATAAAATCACATGCTCTGTAGTTACTCGGGCCCTTTATTGTGACAGTGTTCATAGTCTATCACAGTCCCCATGTTGGACAGCTCTTCTCTTCTTCCAACCACTTTACACATTAGCCCTCTCCTCCTGCCGCCTTCCAGCTGCCCCGTGTGAACACTCGGAGTAAGAATAGACATTCAGTGCACTAGCTGTCCCGTTGCTCATTCACGCTGCCTCTGCATTAAATTACACGTCCTCTTTAGAGAGCCCAAGAAGTTAAGGAGCGTTCGAAAGCCCTCGTCCTCTCCGCCTGTAGGACTCTCCAGCGTCTCGCTCGGCAGGGCTGCGGTGGCGTGACACGAGGTTTCAGCTTGTCAACAATCCCACGGTGCCCTTCTGATTTTTCTCCCTTTTAAGTGCACATTTCCATCTCTGCAGGGGTTCGGCCTTTGAGTTGGCATCTAACACATCTCCCTCCTCCTCCTCCTCCCCCTCCACTTCCCACTCTTCCTCAGTCTTGTACAGCAGCTTGTGCTACATTGATTCGCTGGTGTCGATACAAGCAGCGTTTTTTGAGCTCTAATTTTAGCTGCGCCGCAAGAGGCTGGTGTGGACGGATATTGATGCTGGATGTCAAGAGTCGTGACGCATTTTCATTTCAGAAATATGCTAACAGAGAACTCAGGACTTTTGATGCGTTCTCTGTTTCCACTGTGTCTGGGATACTGACTGGTTCAAAGGATGCTGTGATTGTATGGTTTGAGCACCGGTGTTGTTAAAGTTGGGTGGGGGTAGGCGCCCACTGGACATGCCTTCCAGTAAAAAGAAAATGCACTATTAGTATGGATAAAAGCACCGTCCAGTTTACACATTCGATAGGTGTTCACAATCTCGTACCACAATGAGAAATGAAGCTGAGACAGTCACGAGCTTGTTGGTGTGCGGGTGTGTATGTATGTATGTATGTATGTTATTGTGTATGTATGTATGTATGTATAGGGGAGGGGAATGGGCTGGAAGCCAGAAAGCAGGGTGGGTACACTGTGTGACTGCACGTGTTCACTCACCACCCTCCATGCCTGCAAGTCTGTGCATGTTTTATTTTTTCCCCCGCGGAGGACTGAGATAGTGGAAACATGTCCGACCGCCAAATACATTTTGAAAAATCTAGATGACTTGATTGTGGCTCAGTTCATTTAAATTCACACAGTCGTTGCCTTTGTGCTCCTCTGAAATGCAACGTTGATTATGTGGGAGCCATAAAAAAAAATAGAAAGAGAACAATGCATCGATAATGCTGTCAGAATGCACTTAAGATTCAAATGGAGCATTGGTTTTGTAGGTTTCCCATGAATAGGTACAATACAAAACAGAGCTTTGATTACCTGACATATGAATCAGGTTTTGTATTGAATCACAGTCAGAAGTGTACAACGTGTAAGCTTTTGTCGTTGATGCTGATGAATTAATGATTGATTGAAAAAATAAAAGCTTTGATTCTGGCCATACGTTAGTGGTCGATGTGTTCTCCCTCCACTACTTTTATTATCAGTCTGTCAACTATGTTTTATCACCCCTTACTTATTCAATTAAAAAGAAATCAGCGGTTCGTTGACATGCTGTTGGATTTGTCCTCTTCTTGTCCGTTTCCTGATGTAAAATACCAGCTTGCTTCTTGTGATTTCCCTGCTGACAGTGCATTAAGATGTGTTGTGCTGTGTGTGTTTGCAGGAGGGACAGCAGCATGGTGAAGGAGGAGATCAAAGCGTTCCTGGGGAACAGGAGGATCTCCCAGGCGGTGGTTGCACAAGTTACCGGTGAGTAGCAGCACCGACACTCTGGAACCGTGCTCTTAATTTGAGGTGTGTTTTGTAAACATGCGGTCATTTTGTCCGTCATGCACATTATATTTGGTGTTAATTGTGTGTCTGTGCTGTTGAAATGTACATTTTATATGTTAAGCAATGCATAGGAGATTTGGGGTGGGGGCTCTTATACGTCTACTTAAAGTGGAAGGAGGCATTAACTGATGAAGTAAATGTTGATGGCACAGTGTAATGACTGGAATAATGACACCACCCATGTTTAGATTAGTTTTCTATAAGCCTCACTTTTCACTGTACTACTGGTTCTACAAGGAGGAATGTCTGTTTAATTAAATTCATTTAGAACTGTAATACTGTTAAAATACAACAACATTTTTTTTTACAACAAATTGAAAATACTTTAATTATGAGATCACTAAAATGGATTTTAAATGAATTTTTGCATTTTTGTTTCATTTTCGTTCATGCACGTAGCTCATGCGTACACCTGTGATTAGTTACGAGCTATATTGTAATGGAAAGCTAGTAAGTGGAAGTAAAATGAATGGTTCAGAAACACTGCAGTCATGGGTCCAAACGGAAGCTATTGTGTGGACCAGGAGTAGCCCTTTTTCACCAAATGAAACCGTTTTTGAACCGGTTCCGTTCAGGACTCAACTAGGCTCAACAATAAATAATCTCATTGAAGGAAACCTGCCTCCTGCGTGAATAGGGTCGGCCTACGCTGCTGTAGTTTAACGTTGGTGTGTTCCACCATTTTCTGAGATGGTATGAGGTGTAAAAAGTTTGACAAACATTGCACTATACTGTTGCTGCCTGGCATGATATTTCCTAAGAAAATAAAGGCTCCACTTATGTGTTGACTGAATGAATGAACAAACTCGCACCTTTTCTCCTTCAGGTTACTCACCCCTGCACTCCCCTCTGCCAACCCCTGCTGTAGTTACTAGTTTGTGCTAAGCTATAACGCTACCTCGGCTCTGTTATTACCAATGTAATGGACAATATTAGAATAGCTTTAGCCTGTTCCCAAATTCAATATAAAATTGTGAATTTCAGTTTAGCCCTTCAGTGAACATGCTTCTGTCTTCTCTCTTATTTCCAAAGTGTTGTTGATCATTTCTTCACGGAGCTACTGTAGGCTTTGACGAAAACGGAAAGTGATCGGTTGTCTTTGAGACAGTGGTGCTGGCAATAATTCCACTTGGAAACGCCATTCCTCTTGAATAAGTGTGCATAAGGTTTGGACCTCCCTTCTTTTTACATTGTGTTACTACTGACTGATGCGGGGAACCTAATTTTCTACCGTTTAATTTAGAGCTGTCGCGATAACGAATAATGAATACTGCGCTATTGACAACCGCAGGGGATGGCAAGCCAGCGCCACAACTGCACGTGACCTTACATCACGTGATGTTTAGTCTTTGAAGAGACTCGACACAGCAGAAGCACTGTTTAAAACGCAGGAGGATTCTCTCTCTGCTACTTGGCATCCTCAATTCACAGAATCACAAGCACCCCCGAGTTGTGTCCCCCGATCGGATCGTAATTTTGCCCAGGATTCCGATTCCATACTGGAGGAAGTCGCGGTGGAACTTCCAAATGGAAACACTCCTGAACAAATTGTCATTGCACATTTTGTTTCAATTATTTAATTGCTCAAATGGTTGTATAATGGTTTTTGTACATGAATAATAGGTGGTAATGCATTCAGTGTTTTTTTGTCTGTGTGGATTTGTGTGTTCCCACAGACAATTCTTACATGACTGGTTTTAGTGTTGGTTTAGTGACTATTTACAATGCAAAGGCTGACATTTAGATAAAAATAGGTGCTGTAAAATCAGTAGAAAAATATTGGGATTAACCTTTTGTAAACCTAACAAACACAACAAAATATCAAGCAGCCAGTGGAGAGGAGTGAGAGTACTCAGCAGTATTTCTGAGGCTACAGCTTGTGTGAGAGACAAGTGATCGGAGAAGAAATAAATTCAGAGCTAAGGAGAGAAAAACACTTTCTCCCTCTAGTATTCCCCTCTGTCTCTCTTGAATCCTTCCAAGGGGTTGTCTACAAATTGTACCGTGGCTTGATGCAAAACACTCTTGTAATTCGATGTCTGGCTGCTTTCCAGGCATCAGCCAGAGCAGGATCTCCCATTGGCTGCTGCAGCACGGCTCTGACCTGAGCGAGCAGAAGAAGAGGGCCTTCTACCGCTGGTACACGCTGGAGAAAACCACACCAGGTACGTCCGAGTGTTTCCACCCTCACACCACGCACTCTTCACTCTGTGGGCCTCATATTACTATAGCTTATTGAGGGACTTTGGTTAAAAATGGAAGACAAAGTTTGAAGGGCAGAGAGGGCTCCCCGGTCCATGAAAGTGAGTCAAGTGGCGTGCAAAGCTACGGTTGACCAAGTGAAGAAAAGTTGTAAACTTGGTGTACAGATAGCAGAAGAGTTAGCCTTTAATCGCAGCAGGGGGCAGATCCAAAGAAAGGAAGCACAGTAGGAAAACACTCTGCCGCCAGCAGTTTCCTGTGAGACTGTTAATGAGATAAGTACAAGTAGACGGCGTCTTGTGGTGTATGTGGTGCTGTGAGATGTGAGATATAGTATATCATTTTTTATATATATATATATATATATATAACATATGAGATGCCTCAATTCCACGGAATATCTCATATGTTAGCAGAAGCTTCTTGAAGTGTAAAATGAATTGGAGGCTGGTGGAGATAACCGCAGCAGTTTGTAGAAGCTGAACTGTTTTGGTCGTTTTTGCTCCTGATTTGTATTTAGTCTTTTGATGAAGATCTGTCAGATTTCAGTCATATGCTCTTGGTTACTTTTAGTCAACACAAACTGAAGGCATTTTTAGCCTAATTTTTGTCACGCATTTTTTGTTTTCTAAGCATTTTGAGGCTACAGCTGTTGCCATCTTTGTTGTGTACAGTAACCATAGTTACAGGTGTGGTTCTCATCTATCAAGTTAGTGGAAAAGGCACTATTTGCTTGTTCACACACAGGGTGTCCATGTCACCCTGCCCTGCAGTGATACAACAGTATGGCTCTCCTCAGTAAATGCAGCTATCATTTTCAAACACTTTGCTGCTCCTGCCCACCTAGCATTAGCATTACCACAGCCACCTGTCCTCTCTCACTGTCACTGTTACCTTAAGAGGAGAAGCTTAAATGTCTGATAACGTAGTGATTTTTCTTTAAGCGAACAACAAGAGGAACATTTAAACAGGTTGACAGTTGACATCCTGTAGCAATACCGGAACTCATTCCTTCCAATTAGAGATGTTCCGATACCATTTTTTTTCCCATCCTGATACCGATACCTGAACTTACCGTGTGTGTGTGTGTGTGTGTGTGTGAAAAACTTTTAACAAGCTTATACTACTAAGCCTGTATGATTGCTATCATTGTTGTATGGCCTGGCTCAGATTAAACCCTTTGTCGGAGTAAGGCGGGTCATGACCTGTTTCAGGGCTAATAAATGACGTGGTATCAGATGGGTGCACAGACAAGCATACTGGCTGATATCCTTTGCATTTTAGGTAGTGTAGGAAGTTTTTCCAATACGGGTATCTGTATCGGCACAGCTCTACTTCCAGAAGCACAAAAGTTGAAAGTAACATTAATGGTCTCAAGTCGTTCTTGAGTGCAGGTTTTTAGAAGCAGAAGTCAGGATTGAAGTTCAGGTCTGAATGGTGACAATAAAAAATGACACTTCATTCAAAATACGAACTAGTGCTGGAACACGTGCAATTCAAAATTCACACTGTATGAGTGCAAGTGGCTGTGCTTTGTACTCCGGGGGTGTAGCCTGGGGTGTTTGTAGAAAACAGTCTGAAAGGAAAACCTGGCAGTTCTCTTTGTTAACGGAAATCTGTGGAAACTAGTGAGCCATGAACCCATAATCATGACACCAAGCCATCTGAGATCTCATGTGAGGAATGTTTTGGATTCAAAACCACAGATAGAAAAATCTGAAGTAAGGTTGATTGCTTCTTTTTTAACTGCCTTACAGTAAACGTTACCATGACAACAAATGTGAAATCCCCCTGTTAGCGTGTCACTCAAGTGAGTCAGCTCGGTATCACAAATGAAGTGAACGGTGATAATTCTAGTTAGTTGAGCTCTAGGGCCTAATTATTGAATATGCATGGTCTGTCTGTCTCTGTCTTATTTTTCTTGTTCCAGGTTGGTACTCGACACTTAAAATATCGTCAGGGAGAGAAATCTTTAGTAAGTCGACGATCAGTTTCTCATTTTTGTGACAACTCGAGGTTGAGTCAGCAGCTCTGAAATGTTAACACGCTGTAGTCCGGCTTTTCATCTGTCATGAAAAATCAGCGTTCACATATGCAGAGGCTAAAATGAACCTAGTTTTGTCTCGACCAAGTCATTTTAATGTTCGTTTAATAGTCAAGAAAGACGCACAGTCAAAAGATGCGTCTGTTGTCTTGCACAACCTGAAATCCACCCTTCACTGCAAATGGTTAACAGTAAAAACAACAGGCCTCGTGCTGGCTTCGTATACGTGTGCGTGCGCTGTATCAACCTATAGCCAGGCAGCAGACATCCCACGCCTTGTCCTCTGCGGCATGTTCCTCGGTGGAGCCCTGCCAACACCGACAGCAGTGGAAACTGCTCTATGCTATTTATGGCCAGACTGAGCCCGGCCCAGCTCAGCTCAGCCCAGCCCCGCACACACGCCTCCATCAATGCTGCAGAGAAAACTGATGCCACATTCACGCCGTTCTGATGAGCTGGACTGTTGCAGGGCGACCCAGTTAGGCCTCGCTCACAATGCCTGGCGCGTCAGATTGGGTTGTGATAGTGAGAGTGTGAGCTTCTGACCCCATCATATATCTAAGCTTTTAGCTCGAATGTGGCTAGTTTTAAGAGTTTGAGTGCAAAGGAAACCGTGTGTGGTTTTCTTTTCTGCTGTGGTCATGATTTGAGATGAGGCGGAACAGTCTTTGTCAGCACTATTCAGTCAGAGTTTATAATCAGAATGTATTGTGAGATTTGCAAAAGGCGACATGCATTTCCACATGCATTTTCATGAAGGGATGGGCTTTCTGACTGTTGTGTGCTGTGCTCAGTCCTTCTGTCAAAACAGCCACTACACACATTATTACTACTTTGTTTTTGTTGTAACTTTCGTCCTCACGCATGTACCATCATCAGTTGGAACTAACCAGTGATTCTGCTGCAGGTGCCACTCTAAACATGCGGCCAGCTCCGTTACCTATGGAGGAGATGGAGTGGAGGCAAACCCCGCCCCCCATCACCACTGCCCCCGGAACCTTCCGGCTGCGTCGAGGAAGTCGCTTCACTTGGAGAAAAGAGTGCCTGGCCGTGATGGAGAGGTGAGCAGGGGAGGAGGGGAGGAAAGGAGTAGATTAAAGATCATAAATGAGAGTTTTTTTCCCTATCTTTCTTATTTTTCATATGTCCCTTATTTCCACATGGAGTTAAAGAAACATTGCAACCTGTCCAAGAAAAGGGCTCAACGATTGTCATAGAGTCTCAATATTGGCCTGGTTGCAGCACATATATAACAAACAGCAGTAACTCAAGTATGTTGATATTGTCCTTGTGTAGTGAAATTAATTGAATCACTGTGGCTCTTGTGCTATTTATAGCTACTTCAACGACAACCAGTACCCAGATGAGGCCAAACGGGAAGAGATAGCAAACGCCTGCAATGCTGTCATTCAGAAACCAGGTAAACCACAGAAACCAGCAATGTACCACAATGTAAGAATATTACAACATAACATTTTACTTATAGGGATGAGCGAGCGCTCCATTCTCTGTATCTGTTCAACCAGCTCAATAATCTGCATACATATCTGTACTCGGACTTAAACTGGACAGGGGTGGTGTTTGAATCAGAAGCGGACGGGACTAACCAGAAGTTGTTAATTTAAGACTGGACTTGATACATTTTACTCGATTAAGCCGAGTACTTGCTCAACCCTAGTTTAATGATTATAGCTTCATTAGCTGGTAGCAAATATGCCTGTATATTATGCAAATATTCTGAACTACCATGAAAACTGCCCCTATCCTCACAACCTCTGTAATCTGTCAGCCATGCAGTGTTACAGAGGTGGATAATTACTTGATTAATCGATAAACTGATACCGTTACAGCGGTTGTTGCTGGTGTTCTTTTGGGACCAGGGCATCTTGGATCTGAGGTTTCTTGGACTTGATCAAAATTTTACAGACCAAACATCTGTATCACATCTGACGTGTGATCTGCTCCTTGCGCAGTGGGATCAGGTTATTTCTTTCCAACAGACATTGAAGCGCCATCAGTTTACAAAGGCACAACTAAGAGTGGAATTGACAGCTCGAGGGCGCAGATAGAGTCTAACAACAGGAATCAGAATGAACTAAAAAGATTAGAACAGACTGGCTTATGACTGTGACAGTGGAAGACACTCAGTTGAGAATGTGAGTAAATGATACAAGACTGTCATGTGATTTGTTTCAGGGAAGAAGCTGTCTGATCTGGAGCGGGTTACCTCCCTGAAAGTTTACAACTGGTTCGCCAACCGTCGCAAAGAGATCAAGAGACGGGCTAACATTGGTAATGTGGCTCTGGGGAGGGAACACATTGATTGACATGCGTTAACATGAGCATTTCATATTTAATTATAGCAATTATAACATTTTCTTATACACAGAATAGGCTCACCATGAATTCATTCCATCACTGTAATTGGGTTGATGATTGTTAATCAGTCACCTGACATCTGTAATGACCTCTGGCAAATTATACAATTCCTCTTGCATTAACCTAGATGCCAATTACATTTGTAAAGTAGAGGCTCCATTACATGCTAGCCAAAGGACTTTTCAGAGAGGACAACAGGACTTATTAAAGACATCCAGGATCATTTGGCCACAGTCTGTGCTGTAATTCACAGCCGTCTACAGCAGTAAGTCCCAACCTTTTTTGTCCAATGTCCCCCAGCCGCTCAGTCAGATGAGCTTCATCAACACGCCATTTTACAAAAATGTGTTCATTTGAATAGATTTTAAACTGGATGTTCTTCATCACTGTTGAATTATATAAAAGTGGATATTTGTGCAATATTTTTTCTAGCTTGTTTAGGTTGGTTTAGTCAGTTTGCATTTGTGCTCCTGCTCGTAGAAGCAGAATTTGGAAGTTTCTACCATTTATCCCTTACTTTAAGCAAACTATTTCAACCATTAATCCATCAAAGGTGCTGTAAGTCAAATAGGCATTTTGGCTAACTTCCTGTCCGTTCTCGCAGTTAGCAGTCCCCTCCCTCCTCCTCACATCACCACAGTAAAATTCTGTGCCCCTGAGGACCGCCTTTTCTAGACTTCTGTCCCCTGATTGGATAAAGTGGGAGCGGCATACCAGAACATTTATTCTCTGTTTACTGCAGAAAGGAGGGCCATGTTACTGACTGAACACTCTGTACCACTATTAGCTGTCAGAATGTAAAGTTGTTTAACATTTATTTTAACAAAAAAATATCACTTAATGCACCTTTTAATATTTTGGACTATTTCAACCTCATTACTTTAACTTTCACCTGCTGTCCATTCTGTTTAAACTGTTTATCCAATGCTTTAAGCTACCTATGTTACACATTTATCTATTGCTTTTACCTGTTGACATTTATATGTTCGCTCGCTGACTACTTTTCACACAGCACATTGTGTTCAGGTGCTCCATCTGACTCTGTGTCAGTACACACTCAGTGGCCACTTTTTAGGTGCACTGGTACAATCTAGTGCAATCCAATACAACAGTTCTGCCATAAAGTCTACTTTATAACACTTGTTATAGTGTTTATTTTGACAGCCAAAGAGGTGATAATTCATTTATAATGTTTCAACATTGAGGTCAATTAATGGTGGTGTACTGGACTGCTTTATATTCAGAGGTCTTTCTAATAATCTGCACCCTGATGTATGTAAATGGAAAGAAGAGAAATGGACATTGTAAACTTTGCAACAGTGAAATTTATGGCAGAACTGAATGAATTGCAATAGATTGTACAGATGTACCCACTGGAACAAAGTGACGGCACTGAGTGTAAGTATTTTAAAAATCTACATTTTTTTTTTTTTTTTTTTTTTAAAATGAGTTCAGCTGCTCCACAATCTCTCCATGTACCTGTGATTGGGACTCACTGCTCTATATGTATGTAATGAGGGACATAATTGGTGATCCATCGTAAATCTAATAATCCATCCTCTTCCTCCAAGAAGCCACAATCCTGGAGAGTCATGGGATAGACGTCCAGAGTCCAGGGGGACACTCCAACAGCGACGACATCGATGGAAACGACTTCTCAGAGCAGGTAGAGAGAGATTAAGGGTCCCAAAAGACACATAAAACCAGATTTATGTTCCAGACAGTACTGTAAACGGTCTGAGGAAAGGAAAAGAGGCCGCTTCTCCTTGTGTTACTGCTCCATGTCTTCGTTTAGTATTTTACTGCGTCTTATTTTTTATTTATTCATTTATATTTTTTCTTTGTTTTTATGGAACAGCCTCTTGCCAGCCATTCACATGGAGCCCTTGGCGAAAGGCTGTTCTTGGACAGCACTCAGTATTCCAGTCATTAGTCAAGTGTGATCATGCATTTTACGCATCTTTCATTCTAACTAAACAATACATCAGTTGACTTTACTAATTAGTTCCCCTCTCTCTGGCTAAAGTTGTGTTAATAATTGAAATCAGCAGCTCGTGGTGTTTGTTTGGAGTTGAACCCTGTGGCCTCGCTGGCACATTACCACTCACAAATTCACACAGAGACAAATTGCAAGAACATTTGAACTGCTGTTTTTCCTCAGATGAACTCTGAATATATCCGTTCCCAAATATAGAAAGCACATAAAGTTCTTTTATTTTTATGAAGAATTGCTGCTCAAAGCTGTTGCTCAAGGCACATTAATTAACAGAAGCTCACTATCCTCTCTTCTTTTTCCTGTAACCAGTGGAAACTTAAGCTGCAATGAAAAGCAGCAACGCTCTGTATTATTGTAGAAACGCACACATGAAGATTGTGTTTCAGTTCAGTTTCACTCTGTTTGCACAACATGCAAACTCTCCTGTCAAGTCAACGTGAAAACAGCCAGTTAAAGTTAACCATTCCAGCTAATGAACACGTCAAACTGTTTTGTCTCCTAGCGATCTAGATGTGTGAAAGAATGATTTCTCTAAGTAAACTTTTTTTTTTTTAATCCTACCTGACTAACTGGCTGCTTTTATCTCCTCCAGGCATGTGACTTGCCCTATTTTGACAAGAGACCTCTCAGCCGACCTTTTGGCCTTTACCGACTGGAGCCCACCTCGCCAACCCAGGTACATCCACGCACACCAACGCCGAACGGGGAGCCGGTTCTCTTAAACCCGCCGTCGGATTTTCTCAGTTTTTGTCTCCATCCCAATCCATTCTGATCAGCCTTTCATGAATTCTGTTGCTGCATATCTGTCGTGCCTGTGGTTGCAGGGAGCACTGCTCTCCAGCACAGTTCAAAAAGAGGCCAAGGGGAAAGAGGTTAAAAGAGGTCCTTTCATCACAATTATACTCTGATTGCATGTCTTTAAATAGCTGTCAGTATACAGTAATCAGACAGCACGTCATTTAAAAGAGGATTTGAGGCTCGATGTCATCGCCCAGCCATTTTCTGGCTCCTGTGACCTCAGCTTGAAAAAGATCTCTCATGACTTTAACATCCAAAATACTTTGTTTTCAGAAATGTAAACTCAACTGTAAAAACACACTGCAGCAGATATTATATGGCTGATTTGATTTTGGTTGGTTTGGATCTGCAGTAGGTTGCAGGCTCATAGTTTTATCTTCCTTTTTACAGTCAAGAATGAGCGGGTTAGAATAACATATCTGACAATACTTTTCTGGCCATGAAGAATATTTGGATATCTGGATTTCAAGAGCAGGTGTGATTGCACTGTGAGTTTAAGGCCTCAGTATGCTCGCCATTTCCGACCTGTCGCACGACACTGTGACGTCAAAATGACCTCGCTTGGCGCGCCAGGATTTTTGGCCCGCTCGCGCGGAGGTCACGCACCACTTTTT